TATTTAACATTCTCAAAACCATCTGGAGATGGTGGTATTCACTGAAATAAAGCAATACATTTTAACACTGTTCCACCAAAGCAGAATTACTACTGTCTATTACTAAATATTTCCTGTAACAGACATACCCAATTTTACTTCCATCCTTCACCCTTATTTCATTCTAAACTTCTGTTTCATTTCTCACCCTCTATTCTTTCCTGACCCCCACCTCCTTCAGGGTTCACACCCCAGTGGTGGGAAGATCAGGGGCAGGGTTGCATATGACTTGTATGCTTAATGGTTTACATATAGACTATGTCGAAATGACCTTGAATTAAAGAGCTCCCTCAAAGCCACCATACCAAAATGTCACATACCCACATTGTTTCATACTAAATTTTCAGAAATTTAATATGTAATTTATTTGAGTTAAATTTAAAAAAAAAGAAAAGAAAAGAAACTCTATCGACAATACAATGTTCTCTGAGCTCTTAGTAGAAAGATAGGAAAAGAATTCTGGAACCAGGATCAATTCTGGGAAGGCAGGGCCTGTATGTGTCCTTCTGCCCTGTACTGAGCAAATGCTTAATTAATATTTGCTGAATTGAAAGAGGCCAGTAAGATAAAGTAAATCATTAAGATGAGTATGGAATTAAATCACCATTTTATTCTTACTCAAGGTTAAATCTAAATAAGGATGCAATTCTAGTTACTGCACTTAAACCAGTAAGCAAAAAAATTGGAAGAGGTTTGGGTTGAAAATAAAATCATCAGGGTAATCGAGTAGTTTGGACGGGAAATAAGACTCTCTGGCTTGCAAAAATAAAAACCAGTGAAATAAGTTAATAGATAAATTGATCTATGATGCATGTGGTTAGGCATTATAGTCACCAAATCCTGGTGTATACAACTAAGGAGATAGTCTCAAAGACTTAGAGAGTTAGTCTGAAGCCAAGTGAAAGGAACTACTTCTTCATGTAACAGCCAGCCTGGGCCAGCCTCTTGGGTGTGCCAGCTGTGGACTTGCACAGGGTCCTGAGCCTGGCCTGCTGCCCTGCTGCCGAGGTCTTGAAATTCCGAACTTAGGAACAAGGCACCCCACATGCTCATTCTGTACTGGGCCCTGCGGACTACGCAGGTGGTCTTGGAATAATACGGGTAAATTACTAATCATTGAAGTTAATAGCCACAATAGGGTAAACATGGATAATTTCATGAATTAACGTAGAACTCTTTTATGGGGTCTGTTTTAAAAAGCTAAAGACATTTTGGAGTTTCTTAATGCTTTCAGGATGATGTAATAAGGGCAACTACCAACAGAGGGCCTAACAGAAAATAAAAATCCTTTCTCAATATTATCTATCTGAAACCCAAAATGAGACATGCTACTGCTGTAAATTTGAGTAAATAAACAAACTGCAGTAGAAATATCAATCAAGTATTTTTCAAAGGACAAAAACTTGAAATAATGATTAATAAGCAGAATCTTGGATGAAATGTAACCTTTTCTTCCCTCTTTCCCAGCATTTAACCTAAATATAGTCTATTTCATTGCTCCCTAGGACCCTGATTTTCTCCAGTTTTCCCAGCAGCTTCCTTGTTCTAACTTTTGAACAATCTCATCCCTTTCCCAGTTAGACTGGAACCAGAATCCCTGCCTGGAAAACATTTCATGAGGAGAAGGACCCCTGCACCTGGCTGGGGGGCTGCCCCAGGACAGCGCCATTTTCACTGTGCATGTCAGAGAGAGCTACTTGGATTGGAATCTGCAACTCTTCAAATTTAGTTGTGAAAGTTTACAGACTACAGACTATATTAAAAAGTTACTCAGATGTATTTGCTAAATGGATTTTATATGCCCCATGTAATGAATTTGATAGGAAAACAAACTTTCAAAAAAACCCTCTGGATTTAAAAATCGCAATCGTCTTAACAATTTGGAAAACTTCAAATCTGGCAAACAGCAACCCTGGGGGAGCATGGGACAGGCTGGCTCTCAGTAAACTCCAGGGGCTTCATGTACTGGCAGCCTCGTCACACACGTTATTATTTAGGGAACTAGACTATCTGTGAAAATGTCAAGACTGCCTTTTCCCAGTGAGGACAAAGTCCTGTGGCGAATCGGGAGAAGTACGGCCTTTCCCACTCAGGACACCCAGTTCTTTTCTAACCCTCTTGAGGCAGTTCTCCAAGCACAGTCTCCGAGCCACAAGCATCACCTGAGACTTGCTGACAATGCAAATTCTCAGGGCTCACGCTAACACCGCCTAAAACCTAAATTCTGGAAGTGAGGTCTAGCATTTATTTATATTTTAGCAAGCACTCTATGATTCCGATGATCACTGAGGTCGGGGACTACTGCTCTGGGGAAAGTGAACAAAGGCTTTTTCAGCCTGTCCTAAAAATGAGGATCTTTGTGCTTTCAATTTCCAAACAAGTGGTCAGACACAGGAACACGGAAGTTCAGAGAATGGCTTGGAGGACTGCAAACACTGAGTAATCACTCTGAAGAAGATAAAAAATAGAAGGAGTGTAAAGTATCTCAAAATATGCCTTATAAAGTCATAAGGAACACTTAAACACTTTATTGTAAAATAGCATGCTTTTCATTTGTTACTAATATTTAAATACATATATTTTACATATTAATATAGAAACATATTTACATTAACAGGGGTCAGTGACGATTTTCATCCTGCATAACTGTCTCTATTTCTGAAGAATGCCATCTTATTTTTAACACAGAAATAATGTATTGCTTTAAAATCAGGACTTAAAAACACATTATACTAAAGAAATCGATTGGAAACAACAAAACACGCATTAGGTAACCAGCACTGCACTGAAACAGATACACCACTCACACATTCCATTATGTAAATGAATTCAAAGATATTTCAGGACTGATCAGCTAGAAGGGACATAATGATTTATAATTCAAATAACTGAGCACTGAAATCAAATTGAGCTAATATATATTTCTAAATATGCAAACCTGAAATAATTGTTAAAAAATATAAATCAATGTACCCAGGTTGAAACCATTCATATCCTTTAGTTTAAAATGTTATAGCTTTTAAACTTTTATTTAATAGGTTTTCTGAAAATATGATCTTTTATTAACTTTAGAAAGTATTCAAAAGCAATAAAGAGCTTATAAAATAAAAGGTTATAATTATAGGATTAAAGAATATATACAAAATATAAGGTGATAGGGGAAGGATCTTAATAGCAGACACAAATAAATTAGGCATTATGCAAATTATACTAAAAAGAATACAAATCAAATTAATTTTATATTAGATTTCAATTTCAACCTAAAAAATAGGGTAAATCTAAACAATAGATACGTGCTATAAAATAACATAGGCTTCTTCCCAGATAATATGCTCTCAAAGTAATTCATTGTGAAAAGGCCGGAGTTTGCAATACTAGGAAGTACTTATAAACCACTTCATATGTTAGAAATAAAGAGTATTTCAGCATTATTATTTAAAAAAATACAGGTTCAGTTTTTTTTAATAAGAAAAAATACATATCTTAAAAAGCCAAAATGACCACTGGAATTGGGTTGTACATCACTTTCCAGTAAAAAGGAAAAACAGTCTGGACAGGTGTAATTTATCATTTTTCTGATTTAATATCAAAGAAATATATTAAAATAATAAAAAGAATCCTGAAATCCTCAAAATTTGTAGTGATAAATAGCCCTCCCTGACTTTATTGCATTATACCTACTAACAGAAATATTGCATGGTGGATTTTGCCAGACAAGGACGATTATTTTCCAATAAAAAGTTGCATATTAAATTCCAGCACAAAAGTGGGTGTCTAATACTTTGGAAATCTTTTATGGCTTGCCAAGAAACACAATTTTAAAGTTAACTAATACAAACATATTCCTGAAGTGAACCTACATTAAAGATTTCTCTCCAATGCCCCCATTTTCAGAATGCTATCCTCATATTAAAATATCAGCTAATCTTAGTGATTAACTAAACCAACATTTATTTTTCATAACTCCTACATATTTGATAGATAATATATAAAGGAAAACTAAGCGCTTCTCTCTCATTGGTAGAAATGCAACAGTATTATCAATTAACCTAATAAGAAAAGATGATTTTGGTTTCAGATTTTAAAAATCTGCTAATGAGAGAAAACTAAACATTTAATGTGTACTGGGAAATCTCACTTTAGAGTAAACAATATGTTGATTTGGTGGGGCCCAAAATCAAAAAAGTGTTCAAAAAACTTTAAATTGCCTTCCTATTCCTTTGTGCCTCTTAACTAATGAAAATAATGTTCTTTTCAATTGAACGCTACTGAAAATATATTTACTCATAGGAATTCAGTTTGTATAAGCTAATATTTTTAGAACATTTTGACCTTTTTATTTTTATTTATTTTTATTTTTTTATTTTATTTTTTGTACAGATAGAGTGGGAGGGAGAGAGAGGAAGGGAGAGAAAGAGAAACATCGACGTGAAGGGACACATCGAGTGGCTGCCACCCGCACGACCAACCAGGGCCGGGGACAAACTGCAACCGAAGTACATGCCCTTAGCGGGAACCAAACCCGGGTCTCTCCGGACCGCAGGCCGACGCTCTAACCTCTGAACCAAACCGGCCAGGGCCATTTTGACCTTTTTAAAATTAGTTACATGCTTTGTTTTAAAACAAGAACTTCCTGACAGTTATGAAAACTCGTGGGCTAGAGAACACGTGTGGTAGCATACTTTCTTATGTGACAACTGATGGACCTGGATGAGTACAAACAGAACTTTAGTTAGGAATCTACATATCTACATATATTGCAACTGTGAAGAAATGCTTTACAGTAAAGTATGAAGCTAATAAAAATCTTTCAAAAACATGCATTTACAGATAAGGCCAAATAAAAGGCTTTTTATTTTTTAAAAAACTTGCAAAATTTATAAACAAGGAAAATATCTAGCCAATGGAATGTACTTGTTAGGTTGCTTATATAAGTGGTCAGATATATAGTAAAAGGATATCCAACAGAGAGGTCATTTAGGAACTGAAGAGTCCTCGAAATTACAGGCTCACATCTTCCCCAATATTTCAGGTTTGTAACACTAAATATGAAAAAAGAAGTTTTTAATTGTAAGTAAGGTATTTGCTTGTATAGGGAGAACAAGGAAATACACATACATGTTTGTAAGTTAGAAGACCTAAATCTCAGAATACCAACAGAACATTTTTTATTCTATTCTTTGTACAGCACATTCAAAATTATATACAATCAACGTACAGTGAACACTACTCTCCAAGTGTCAAAATGGTGTTTAATTCTACACATTTAGTTTTATAAATTAAAAAGTTGTCTAAGTGTTTCACAGGAGAAACATTAAGTTCGTATCTAAAACAAACATATTTGGGATTGACAGCAGGAGTTACAAGGAAAGTCCAACAGAGGCTCACAGTTCACCAAGAAACGAACCATCCTATTTTTGGCTCCAAAACTCACTTCTCATGATCATGACTGTCTATCTAGTGTTATGCTCTCTAAGCAAGACAGTACTATTTATGTTACACAGATAAAGTAGGAAGCCAAGTGGAGGCACACCCATTTAGGTTAAGTATACAAAGTTATGTCTATGACTAGAAATTCGTGAATTCTGCTGCTGTTATAAGGGTAACTCCGTCTCCATGAATATGTCTCTGACAGCCGCAGGTTCCTGTCGGAGCCAGTGGATGCCTGTCCTGAGGCGATCAAACCTCTCAGTGATTCCAATTTGCAATAATCTCTTTACTTGGTCTTTAAAATTGGGTATTTTCTTTTTAATTAAATAAATGCTACCCACTTGCCTGGAAGAGCCAGAGTCTGTAAACTTTGTAAAACCATGTTTTGAGGTTGCATACTGCAGTTGTATGGAGACCTTGACAAATAACAATGTCTTCTGGATGGTGAATTTTAAATATGAGAAATTGTTTCAGTGAAAAACCATGCTACCATACCAAAAATTAAAACCTAATTTTTAAAGGCTCTCACTAAGAAAATTAATATTTATGAAGAGATTTAAACATAGTTAAAGGTCTATTAGATTCAAACCAACAACAAAAGAAAAATCAAAGAACCAAAGCAGGAACTCACATTTTTGTCATGAATGTTTCTAGAACATGGTTGTCATCTGTTATTCCTAAGACTTCTGACATACGGGCATATACCTGCATGAAAACATTTAACTGTTAAAAGCTTTATCATTAACATATACTTTCAAAAGACTATCACATTGAACAAACGTAAGATTAATGCACGGTTGCATCTGCACTGCAGTAGGGAGTGGATGGGAAAGCAAATTAAGAATTTGAAAAAATGTTTGTAGTTTTAAAATTTACCCCTTTTCCTCCAGGAGCACCTCTCTTATTTTGGCATACATACACACACACCTTCACATACTCCTTTCACTCCCAGCACACTACCTAATTTTTTTCCAAAGCGGTAAATCATCCCTTTCTCAAAGACCGGAGAAGGTAAAGGGCTAGAATTGGAGTGCCTCAGTAAAGGGCTCTGACATTTCCCAAGCTTCTATCCATTCCAAGTTTCAGCAAACCATCACTTAATTCAGGATTATGCTAGGCAGTTATAAAAAAATTATGCCAAAAATAAAAGGAAGTTAAAGAATTTATAGAAATTCTTAAATCTCTCAATCAAGCTCCCCCCAAAATAGAGATAGGTCTTACTTTCCCTGCTGGAACTAAAATCCCAGGCTCAGGAATTCTCTGCTGAGTACACCAGGGCCTAAGAATCCACTAAGCTTCCAATTAGGGAGCGCTGGCTGCAGAGTTTGGGGTGCAATATTTCAGTCCCAATCCAAGCCACACTGAGCTGATAAACACATATCCCACTTCAATTGGGAAAATGCCACCGGCAGCCAATGGCATATTCCCCACTAGCCTGGCAAAGCTGAGAGGTGGGTTAACACCTCCGCACGCCCTGGCGCTCTGGTGTGATTCCAGGTTATCCCTGCCAGACACCCGCTGCATCGGATTTGATCCCAGGATTGTTTTCTCCCTTCCTCCTGACCAGCCTATGTCCTACGTGGTGCGGTAATTCAGCTTTCACTCTCTCCGCCTTGTTTTCATAGGTAAACAACAGCCTGATCTACTGCCATAGGCCATGAAGGCGAGAAAGAAAGCACAGGGCACCAAAGTTGTAGGGCAGCTGTGCACGGCACAGGTCTCATATTTGAATTTTAAACACTATTCAAACCAGAAACTTGTGTTCAAGTGTTAGGCTTCCAACCTAAGTCCTATGACCAAGAAAAGCTCCTCAGACCCATAGAGTAAATGGGGGGAGAGTGGGAGAGGGAGAAAAGGGGGAGCCGGCGGAGAGGGCAAGAGAAGGAAAGAGAAGTTGGGGGAGAGAGAAGGAAAGATTGAGATCGAAATTCCTGTTGCCTCTGCTAACTTCGGAGCCCTACAGAGAAGCATTACCACGACTGCTCGGGAGACGAGGCCTGCACCTCTTATAAGGCTGAAGCTCTCACTGCGTTTGTCAGATGTCTGAAGAAAAGAGGGAGCGAGGATGAGAACCTAGGACGTTAGTCACCAGCAATCCTCAGCAATCCTCAGCGATCAGAAACCTTTACGCACGCCTATGGCTCAAAGGAAGAATGGTGTGCAGAAAGGCGGTTTCCCAATGTCACCACGATCCCAAACCTCTCCCACAGGTGGGAGTGACTGGGTCCCTTGGAGAATCTGGTATCGATATGGTTAATGGCATACAAGGCCCTTCACAACCTGACCACAATGCAATGCGGGGGTGACTGAGGCTTCTCAGGCAGTCTCAGGTCTCTATGAGCTTGTGGGCCTCACTTTGCCTGAATCTGCCTCTTCCCTCCTCTTCCCGATTCCCACTCAGAGGGCACCTCTCCGGCCGCAGCAGGGAGGCGTGCCCCTTTGTGTCCCCACGTTTTTCTATCGCCGTACTGCTCACACTGTAACTGTGTGAGTGTCCATCTCCCCCAACTACACTGTATTGTATTTTTGTAAAATCAAAATCTACGTTTTCAAAACTTTATAAATGCTTTTTTTAAATGGCAAAACTTAGGAGTGATTTAATTTTGATTTTACCTATGCCACACTGAACAACAAAATATAATAGCTAAATTGATTTTAAACATTTTACATTTAAAAAATATCTTTTAATTGCTGGTTCTTACAAGGAAGCTTTCTATTGTGTCCCTGGCGCGCAAGGAGAAGCTAGACAGGCGTCTGTTGTGCTCTGCTGTCAAAACAGTTTCTCAAAGCATCGGGTTTGACCCAATAAGATACTAGAAAAAAAAGTCAACATTGACACATGGCAGTGCTTTAATCCACAATTATCCTTGTAACTTGCACCATTCCTTTTATCATCCATTAGCTTTGATTCCCATTATCCCATCTAGAACTGTGTCAACGCTTTTGTCCCTAGGGATTTCTCTCCACTAGAGGATCTGACAGTCAAGCCTGAGTACTAAACAGGATCATTACCTCTTAAATCCACTTATCTGATCTACTGAATAGTAAATTGAAAAGCTCATTAAGAGCAACAATCTGATTTGTTTCCACGTGTGACAGGGTCATTTAAAATCAATGTATGATTAGTGCATTTCTTTTAAAAGACTGGCTCACATTTTCTAAGGCACCTTATTATTCAGAGAATATACATAATATGAAAATGTCTTCAAACATTTGGAATTTAATTATGCCACAGACACACATAATTTGGGGGTGGGAAGTAATGTGTCCAGTGAGAAAAGATCTATAAAACTGTTTATCATGAAACACAAGCCAATGAAAGTTTTCTACAGAAAAAATTCTAACACAATATTTAGGGGGTTTTGACATTATCTAAAACATCTATCTCTTGACCAAAAATAATTTTTATGACAGCCAGCAGAAATGATACCATGATACGCATTTTAAGGAAGGATACAGAAGTTGACATAGGAATGCAAGGAGAGGTAAAAACTCTGGTTCGTACACAGATTCCTAACCTTTTGTTTCAGAATCAATTAAGATCATTTGATCACAGTGAAAAAAATAAGCAAAATCTAAGAAATAAGAGACTAAGCCCATCTGTAGTTCCATCCTCTCTGAAGGGCACGATGAAGATGAATAAAGAGTACGTCTTTGGTTACCGGTTCACATGATCAGAGAGGCACACACTGCCACCTTGTTTCTGCCTGTCAGCCTGTGCATCCTCCCTCTCTTCCTTCCTTTTTACTACGCCTGCATTTCACTTTTAGACCACAAGCTCCCTGAGGGCAGAGAGGATGCTGTCTTTTATCTCTCCTGCCTAATAATGCTCATTAAATGTAAAATGACTACAAAAGACGTAATATTAAAATGTAAATTTTGGCTGATTCCATTTCATTAAAAAATGTTTAACAAAAACATTTCTCTAAAAATTTAACGAACCCTTTTCTCTAAAAATTATATACCCCGAATTGCACTCATCAGAGGTGACCACTGGTAAAATTGTGTTATTTAAAAAAAGACGTGGTTTTAATGTGTAAACAGTATTTCTGGGAGAAGCCCTCCTCTCGATGCAGTAAGGAGAGCTCTGTCCTCTGAATACTCACAGCGCCCACTGCTGCCAGTGTGTTCCTGGCACTCCTCACATTCTACAACAGACACGATCTTGTAGAATTGGTTTTCCATGCGAATATGGAAAATTCATTTTCCTCCACTATCTCAAGCATGTGTTCTACTATTTCCTTCAGTATTTCAAGCATGTGTTGCCTGAGGGCAGGGGAAATGTCTATTTCTCTTTCTATCCCCAGAAGTACTTACAACACTGTCTTGATAAACTTAGAAACAAAGAAAAAGCACAGGCTCTGGCCCCACAGATATCTGGAATTGCTTTCTGGGTCTACCACTAACTAGCTGTTACTTAAAATCTCTGAATCTTGGTTTCCTTTCTGTAAAACAGGAACAGTAATACGAACACCTACGTTACGGGGTTTTGGGAAACCGAAAGATGAGACCTAACACAGAGCTGGTGGTTAGTGCTCCACAAATGCCACGCCCCTTCCTCCTCCACTTCATAGACCCTTTCTCATAGTAGGTGCTCCAAGGGCCCGCTACTACCTTTCAAGGGAAGGTTCATTACATAAAAATGCCAGAAAGAAGGAGCTTACCTTGAATATTCTGACATGGCACCAAGAAGGTTAAGACAAAAAAAACCTTAACATTTGTATGAGCTTTGAAATCCTTACACACATATTCAGTCAACACTAATCAAGGCCAGAAATGGCATCTGTTAAAGGTATAAGGCTTCAAAATATCATAATACAAAACCAAATTCTTTCTACTTCTCAATGGTTATTGCCTTAGAAGCTAGAAAAATTGCCCATTTTAACCAGCCATCCATCTTCTCTAGCTCTTGAAATTCACGAAGTTGTTAGAAATTACCATTATAGACTTGAAAAGGCATGCTCCAAAAAACTGTTTTAATATGTTTGTTTTCTTGTTTCTATTTATTTTACTGTGAAGGTTCTTTTACTTTTCAGCAAAGAGCATCTGGATGTGTTTATAATGCCCCAATGACCCAATACTTCTCGCACTTCTTCACTAACCAGATGACAAGCATGGCCTGCGCGTATGCAGGTAGCTTCAATGAACTTATATCTGGTTTCTCAAAAGGAAGCCAGACGACATAAGAAAACCAGACAAGAGAATGAACGTACAAATAGCAAAAAGGGTTTGAGTTGTGAATTTAATTTAATAAAGAATAAAAGCATGTGCTGCGCTAATGTTTAATTACTTTCCCTTTCCAATCCTAATCCTTGGTCTTGAGGATCTGCGGTGCTGTCTCTAACCTTCTGGCTATGACTTTGAAGAAACTAATTATGTCAATCCTCACATTTGCAGTAGATTACAGAACTGGGAAACCCAGAATATTAGTTCCTAAAGGTTGTATGGATCTATAATGACAGTCACAGAAATTCAATAACAGCCCTCTATGAAATGTACTCAAAAGCACCACATGAAACAAATTAAAAAGAACAATGAATCGCTCATTCTGCACAAATAAGAAAATAAAAGAGAAAAACTGGTTCTGTAGGTTTTCATAAGAGTTGTTATAATGAATTAAGATTTTGGATAATGAATCTTCAGAAAATTACAGTAAGTTAATACCCATAGGCCTTCTATGATGTTCTCAAAGAGCCTTTGTAAGCAGGCTCCTTGCAGAGAATTAGCAGTGCTGTGAAAATCAGCAACAACGTATTCTGCCGTCGGATAATATATTTTCCCGAACCAATTTATTCGGAAAAATTCACATCCAATAATACAAAATTGATACCACAAAATTAAAAAAACACAATTGTTGTGAATTTTAAAGTATTATTTCAATCTATTGAAATGACTTATCAATCAAGATTTTTAATGGGTATTAATTTGGCAAAACAACACATGTCACCAGAAAGGATCCAATATAATGAAAGAATTAACATTCCTTAGGAAAAGAATTTTGGAACTGAGTGTAAACTCATTTATTATAAGTAAGAAACCAATTTCCATGGTTTTGTCTCAGGCTTCGAGTGCCCTTGAGGTCCACGCATTTCTGTAAGGGTAGGACGGAGAAGGAGAGGTGTAAGAGGAATTAGAGCATTTTATCACTTGGATGTAAACCATTTAGAACTGAAGATACTGGGCTCTTCCAGTAACATGTGAAGCAGAATAAAACATGATCATCACAATTAACTTATGACCACATCAAGAGAATTAATGGTACAAACACCATTGCTGAATATTAAATATACAAACTTAGTGATACTGAATAGATCCACATCAATCTTGGCTAATTTTTCCACATCATTTAAAATAACATCACAAAATATAGGACCGCAATTATAGGTCAAAAAATCTTTGCCAGAATTTAATTGTAAAACCATATATATGTTGGGAACCAAGTGGTAAACGTTTAGGAATCTGCTTGCCTTATTTGGAATGGCATCTGATAAAGAAAAGCTGGCTATGGAAGTATAAGATAAATATGAATGTTAAGTATTTATTTACACTGGAACATCCGAACTCACCATCTGTGGTGGCCATCTTGCTGAGGGGACATGTACCTAACAAATCTCTTAAGAGGCATACCAATCTGCTTGAAGGAGCTATTGTGTAAGGAGACTTGGAGCCACCCCTTTGCCTGACATTTCCTTCGCTCCACATCCTGTGGCACAAAGCATGAACTCAGCAGGCTGGGGTGCAGGGCTGCCTGCTGCCTTGTGATAATCCCCTCTCCCAGTAGGGGCCTCCACTGATGCATGGCTAAGAACATGCTTCCTCTTTTGCTTGCACCCCAGTGGGGTTTCCATTCCTAACTTGGGCCCACATCCAGACCGCTAAGGAAGGGCTCCAGATGCTGCCAGAGATATTTTTGGATTAGTGTCGAAACCATCATTTATTAGAAAGAGGAATACAGGTACCGTGTGAAAACCAGCAATACTGGAAATTTTGGAGAGATTCTTTCCCTCCCACCCCGACCAGATCTAAGGTCTAACTACCACCTGTTCAACAGAAGCTGGCTGTTTGCCTTACTTTCCTTAGGGAGCCACTGACTAAGGATCTCCACCAGCATGAACCTAATGTCTCCCGACAGGCCTTTGCTAGCCAAGAGGGACCCGGGTCGAGTGCACCAGTTATTGGTCACAGGATACACAGCCCATCGAAGGACTCCTGTGGTGCAACCAGCTGAAAGCCAACTAGAGAAGATGGGGGGAGCACATTTGTCCTGACACAGCTTTGCTCCTGCTGGCTGCCAACTCCCTCCATGTCTGGGGCCGAGCTTCTGTTAAACTAGTCTTCTGTGGCCAAAGCCATGGTAAAGCCCTGGGTAAATACATTATCGTCCCAAGATCATACAAGCAGCAGCAGCTAACCATGGCTATGGCACAAGGCTATCGAAGAGGGCCTGACTAATTTTGGTAGAAGGCTTGAGACCATGCTTTTAAGGGGCATTTCAGGCATTTTACTCAGAATTCTTTGCAATAGCAAGTTTATAGGACATATTAGGACATATTAGATTTTGGAGCAAAGAAGTTGATGCCAGATACAATTGGTGAGAGGGTGATGGTAGAGGAAATCAGGAAATAAAAGATTTTATTTACACCAATCCCCCATAGTTCTCAGAGGTGTCAGCCAGGAACACATTCTGGCACGTGGGATACATGTGCTCTAGATACTGTTCAATAACAGATGCTAGTCACTGTGGCAAAAGAAAACCTCCTCCTTCAGGTATGAATAACTGGTTAGAACTGGCCGCTTCAGAAATGTTATGATCAAGAAATGTAGGCTGCTTTCACACTATGCAAGCGCACGAACCAGAGCGGTGGCAGTTTGTTGCTCGTTTGCTGACCAGTGAACAGTGGCTTATAAAACATGCACATCGCAGGACTGCAGACTGCACAGAAAGAGATCCAAGACAATGCGCCCTACACACCCCGCTGTGAGCATGTGCCTACTTTAGTGCTGAGGATCCGAGGCCGGGGTGAGGCAAGCATAAAACTGGTGATCCACCATAATAACCACAACCCAACTCACCTTAACTACTTTCCAAGCCTTCTCTGGAGCTCTGGACACATCACTCCTCAGGCGTACAACCTAAAAAGCACAGAGTTTAGGGACCTGCCACCTGGCATCAGGGGTAAGGGAAGAGCAGAAGGCCTTCCCAACTTCAGATACAGGGAGAGGGTGGCTCAGGATCTTTGTGGCTGTCACTTATCATCTTGGGGCTTTGTTTATTCTGGAGGCCAACAGTAGAGGCCTGGCGAAGTGCCGTTCAAAGCCTGCATGTGGTCACATGGGTTACAGCGGGTTTGCTTCCGTGAAATAATTCACGAAACCAGTTACTAAAGGGTAGCCCTAAACAAGAACCAATTATAAGTAATATTGACAGAACTATTTGAAAGTCTGTTGGCACTATTGCTTCCCATGAGGCAGGCACTCTCCTTGCGCAAGTGTGGCAGGTGGGGCTGATTTGAGTAGGCCAAGTCACCTTCGCACGGGTAAAGTTCATCTGTAATAAATGGAACTCGTTTCTCTAGTCATTCAGAAGGTAAGTAGATCATGCTGAGCCTTCCACCACTTAATCAAATTCTTACACACACACTCTCCCCAAATCCTCTAAAAGCACACCAAATTATAGTCACAGTGGGTGTTAAGACTTTCACCAGGTCCCATTTCCATTTCTAGCATCTTTATTTTATTCTATGTGTTTCCTATTAATATTACTCTATTTTTGTCTCCATATTGCCTCTCTGAAACATGTCCAATTTTCTATGTCTAAAATAACTTCTGTACCTTTCTGAGAGATACTCAACTCTGTGTCAGTCTGGGAAGAACCATCTGACATGAAAAGTAGAAAAATAATAGCCCAGGGAATAAAAGAGGGGATGTCAATGACATCATCTACATTTTTGCTCCTTTGTCATATTAGCTAGTTTCATTTTTTCATAATAGTCTCAAATTTTACTCAAAGATCTTGTTTCTATAGTCCTTTGTACCTTTAAATTTGTCTCTCACACTAGTCTCGTTATTGCAACTTTAACTTACCCAAATGCCATGGATCAGAGTTCACCTTCAGTGGCCCATCAACTCCCTCAAACACTGTCTGGGTTCTCTGATCCGGCAGTTATCTGTGGCAATAGACTAAGTCCTGCCTCCAGCCTAGTCTTCCTAGTGAACACTTCTGTGTTGAAAATGAACTACGACATATGCAAAAGCCCCACTGGTCGACACAGTTGCCAAGGGAGCATATTCTTCGCTCAGTAAGCAGACAGACATGGCAAGGCAGCTGAGTATATTTTAGATGACCAGGAGCAACCAGAATGTGTGCGCAGCGCAATGCACACGTTTCAGAGTGAGACCGCTAGCTGCTAGCCTAGCACAGCGCCTGGCTAAACCAGCATGCATAAACAATTTTATTTAATGAACTAACTCTATAATCTCTCAGAGCCTCAGTTCTTCAGCTGTGAAGTGGAAAGAATGATAGGACAAGAGTAACCTCACAAGTTAGGAGGCAGTCTCGGACAGTGGTTGAGGACAGACTCTGAAGGCCAGGGGTAGTTGGATCCACCACTTACTGAGTGATTCTGAACAAACTCCTTTAAACCTTGGTTTTTCAAATATAAAATGAGAATAAGAATAGGGCTTAATTTAAGAATCCTTGAGAGGATTAAAGTAGTTAATTTATGCAGAGCACTTAGGAGAGGCCCGGCACAGGGAAACTGCCCTGAGTGTTAGCTGTTGTTATTATTGTCATCTCATGCTGCCTGTATCATATACAGCGCTACAGGCACAGTGTCAGAAACGCTTGAAAGTTTTTGGTACACAGTAAGCCCCAAATAAACATTAGCTATTAGCCATTAGGATAGGTGGTCAGTAAATGGCTGCTATTATTAAGTAATATATAATCAAACTTTAGTCTGACATTAAGACTATGGGGCACACCCCAAATGACAGTCTCTTTTCTTTGTGCTTTATCTAAAGCAGATGTTAGAAAACAGGCATATGTTCTAAGTCGGTATGTGAAAAGCTTTAGTGATAGTTAAAGAAGAGTGATTAGAGGGAAGGAGCCCTTCTGAAAGATAGCCTAGCTTCCCATCTGTATCTTCTACCAGTAACTCCTATTTTATATGAGCAGGAGGAAAACGGAATGCCTGTGGCAGCAGGCGAGTCTTATCTTAAGGGCTCATCTGCATCACCTAAGGTTGCAATTTTAAAGCCCTCCTCCTCCTTTTTTGAGTCATCACAAATTCCTACTTCCTGTCTCTAGCATAAGTTTTCAGCTTACTGGGTAGGTAAATGATTTATATCCTTGTGTCCAATAAATTAACAAAGTCTTCCCAATTCAGATCAATGAGTTCACCCAATTCTCCAAGTTTTCTTTGCTAAATTAATGCACAAAGACAAGGGGTTTCAGAATACCATCATTAGCTTTAAATTAACAAGAGTTTTTGGCAAAGGGTCAAGTCTAAGATGTTGGATGGAAACTAGACTTTTGGCAGCAAGCACGCTGTAGGTTATACGGATATCAAATTATAATGTTGTATATCTGAAACTTATACAATGTTACTATTAACCAATGTTCTCTCAATTAAAAAAAAACAGTTTTTGTGTTGATAGGCTCAAAAAGAACAGACATGGAAAGTCTTTCAGATATAATACTGACCTCTGACATTAGACTATGAGTTGCGTTACTTCTCCTTCAGTAGGATGGATTCTATCAAATACCTAGGATCTAGCTTAGTTCTCTTGTGACTGATGGCTAGCCAGGACTAGAGGGTTAATCTGTCGTTGTAGAGATAAGTTTTTTCCTTGGGAAGTAAACAGAAAATCTGGGGATGAAACTTGTGATGTTGGTCTCATCAATCATTACACTTACATGGATCATGCCTGGACTCAAGCCTAAAACGCACATAGACAAAGTGAGACAGTGGAAAGCAAACTTGGGTTAAGAGTAAGACGACTGGGTCAAAACCCAGGGTCTGCCTTTGACCAAGTTTATAACCTTCTTGAAATCTTTCTCATATTCTGTAAAATGAAGATAATCATCCATACTAAACAGAATACTGCTAAGTAGATAAAATGAGAAATGTAACGAATAACTTCACAAAAATGGTTAACACAAAGTAGAAACCCAATACAGGTTAAATTAAGGCTGAGGACAAAACATTCTCAAATGGTATTTCCTAGGCATTTCTTATTCTACATTACCTGAAAATACACAATTCGTAAGTTACAGCAGGGACAATGTTTTCATCTCTGTGCCCTTAACTAGAGGAACTTCCGGAACATGCAGGTTGGAGAGCATTGGGAGGCAGATGCACCTGCTGGGGAGTGTGCTATAACAGCCCTTGTCTTACAAATGCAAATGACCAGGGGAAAGGAGAGCCGAGAGCTGGGACCACCAACCATGAACATTTCTAATGAGTGCGGAAAGTGACCAAGAGGAAGCACGGAAGAAAGTGGTCATGAACAGTTGGAAATAAGAAAGGACAATAAGTGATCGAAGGCTCACCTGAAACTAATATGATATTAGATGTTAACTGTAATTAAAGATGAAAAAGATTTAAAAGTAATCAAAAAAAGAAATGAAATAAGCAATCAAAGTCTAATAATAAAGGATTAAAACACAAAATTGAGGATTGCAATTCTCAGCAAATGTAAGGCCCTCAAGGTACTGAGGTGCTTTGCCCATTTCAGTATTGGCTATCATTTTACAATGGTCCTCATCAAAAGGTGTAAGATTGCCCGTGGAAATGCATTTCCAATTCTGTAATGGGAATCAATCAGGAAATGTAATTCACATCGGAGAAAGTTGTTTCAAAGCCAACTTTGCTTAAACACATCTATTCAGTACAGCAAGGGACACTGGCGCTGGGGAGCCACGCAGGCCTAGGGGAAAACAAATCCCAATACGTTTGCCAAACGCGCTTTTGTATTTCAAGATTCCTTCGACAGAAACATTCTGGGAGATAAAAATTAGGAAAACACTGGACTTAACTAATTCAAAATGTTGAAAAATATTTTACATTTGTGTTTTATAACCAGTGCTTTTCCCACATTTGTCCCAAGGCAGCAGCTGAAGCGTTATATTCACCAATGCTAATACTAGCAATTGGAACATGCTCTTTGGCAAGGCAGAAATAAGATAATTGTTCAACATAGGCTGGCTTTTCAGAAATACTGGAAGCATTGCCTGTAATTATAGACATCTGTCACTGCTAGCCACTCAGCACTAACCCTGACATCAATATATACAACCATAGCACTAAACTGCCTGCAGGCACAGCAATGGAGACCAGATACGCTAGGCAGGCAATCATCTGCCTCATCCGAACTATCTGTCAAAGGTTCCCAACCACAAATAGCTCTTACATTTTGTATCCTTAGGATAATATGTTGATTTATTTCAGATTCTCTAATATTTACAGTCTAGGCCATCTACTAAAATAAAGAAACAAAACTTATGGCTAATGGAGGCAGTTACTGTTCACAGTCATCATAAAAGGTCATAGCTCAACCCTCAAATGTTAAAAATTGATGGCAGCTTTAACCATGCACTATCGTACAGATGTTTCCTTTTGTAGAGGCAATTATTTTCAATAGCAATTCAAAATGGTAAATACAATCTTTCATCAGCAAGTATGTTGCCACATTGATCTAGTAGAAATGCTCATATTTTAAAGCCCTTTTTGAAAAGTAAAGATAAGTTTCAATGTTGAGTATTGAAGAACCCAGATTGTCAGTTTAGGTTTAGCTGTACATATAGTACTGTATCTGGGAACATTTTTACATATACAAATGATGTGATGTCTAAAAACTAGGAAATGATATTAAAGGATAAAATACTTGGTTAATGAATGAGTTGACTGACATATAATGTTGCTGGGTAGAAAGCTTATTGAAATATGTGCATGCACATTCATATTTTTTAAAGCCCAAAGATACACTGTAGCTTTAAACATCACTCTTTTTTCTTTGAAGCAGGCAGAGAAGCTGAAAATTATTAGACATTTAGACTAATGAGGAATAAACACTCACAATTACCATAATGTGTTACTGAAAACCCAGATATTTCTTGGTCTGATCA